ATGTAGCTCAGACTAGCCTCAAACTCACAGAGATCTTCTTGCCTCAGCTTCCTGAATACTGAAATCACAGGTATGTCACTGGGCTGGGCATATAGCTCAGCAGCACAGCACCTGCCTGGCAAGCTCAAGGTCCTGAGTTCGATTCCTGGTATGAAAGAAAGAGGCGGGGGAGGGAGGGAGGGAGAGAGAGACAGAGAGACAGAGAGAAAGAAAAAGACAGAGAGAGCAAGAGAAAGAAAGAAAGAAAGAAAAAAAGTAAAAAAGTGTCACCACACCTGGCATTGCATGTTTCTTATTTGTTTTTTTTGTTTTTTCTGCGGTACCGGGAACCAAACTCACAACCTTGCGCTTGCCAGGCAGGCACTTTGCCGCTGAGCTAAATCCCCAGCCCCTGCATGTTTCTTATTAAGGTAGCTCATATGGCTTCTTTATTTTATTGCTTCTGAGAATGTGATTAACCCCCATTACATAACCTAATTAGTTATTTTTAAGTTTTTTCCTTGCCACTGGTGATTAAACCAGGGCCTTCACATTGAGCTACACTCCCAGCCCCTTTTTAGTTTTGTTTTTTGTTTTTTGTTTTTTGTTTTTTTGACACAGGATCTTGCTAAGTCATTGTTGCCCAGGGTAAGCTTAAACTTGTGAGCCTCCTGCCTTACTCTCCCAGAATAAGGGAGATGATTTGCTGTTGATTTGCTGTTGATGATGAGAACAGAGTTACCAATTTTAACATGCTAATCTCTTATCTCATTTGGCAACTTTTCAGCCTATTCTCTTTATCTTTAATATTTATACCTTTAGGTTCTTCTCTTTCTGCATTGACTACAACACCCAAAATAATAAAAAGTAAAAGGCACAACGGATGTCCTGCTCACTTTCAGATTTAATGAGAATGCACGTAGCTTTTCAATATAAAGAGTTGTTATTGCTGGCTTGAAGGGTGTAGCTCCACAGCAGAGCACTTGCCCAGCATGTGCAAAGACCTAAGTTTGATCTCCAGCACTGGGAAAAAAGAGTGGTTATTGTTAATGAATTCTATTGTCGATGAATTAAGACTTGTTTCCTTCATCTGCTTTTTAGAAAATGATTTTTATTACTTTTAACAGGTTTTAGGGGCTGGGGATATAGCTCAGTGGCACAAGCGCCTGCCTGGTAAGTGCAAGGTCCTGCATTCAATCCCCGGTACCACAAAAAAGAAACAAACAAACAAAAAAAACACCAAGTTTTAATTTTTAATTACTCTTAAGTAGGTTTTTGTTTTTGTTTTTGTTTTGTACCGGGAATAGAACTCAGGACCTTGTACTTGCCAGGTAGGCACTTGTGCCACTGAGCTATATCCCCAGCCTTAAGTAGGTTTTTTATTACTCAACCAAAAATTTATTTCAAAAATCTTCCACCACATGGATGAAACTTGAAGACACTCTGCTCAGTGACATAAGCCAGACTCAAAGGCACAAGTATTATACATGACTCTGCTTATATAAGATACTTAGAGGCTGGGCATGGTGGCACATGCCTGTAATCCCAGCACTCAAGAGGCTGAGGCAGGAGGATCACTGTGAGTTCAAGACCAGCCTGGGCTACAAAGTGAGCTCAAGGCCAGGCCTGAACTGCATAGTGAGACCCTGTCTCAAAAAGACACACAAAAAAAAGAAAATAAAAAGAAAGGAAATTAACTAAATAGCAGGAGATAGAAAGATAAAGATTGCACTTTGAAAATGTATTTCTATATTGCTTAATTTTATTACATGTTATATTCTTGTAATACTAAAACAATAAAGATGTTTAAGCTAAAAAAATTCTTATATTTGCATCACAAGACAAACTCTTGCTTACTGGACCAGCTTCTAAGGTGGACGAGCACTGGGCCAGCCCCTAACAGTTAGCACTGACTCCCTGCTAAATCCTCTAGGAAAGAGAGTTGATAATTAAAATTGGCATAGGCAAAACCTGGGGGTTCTTGTGGATTTGGGGCCTCAGAGGGTGGTTTGTTGTTTCTTAATTACAGTGGCATCTTGGTTCACGATTAAGTCTTTCCACAATTCTGCTCACAAACTGAATTGGACAAGAACCTGAATCAAATTCAATGGTTACATTCAATGTTGATCTGATGAGGAAATTTGACTTTGTTCTCATCCAATTCAGTTTGAGACCAGCATCATAGAAAGAATTAAGTACATCAACTGAGGCACCACTATATTTCAAGTCTTGTTTTCATTTCAAAAAGGGATATTCAGATGCAGCATCTAAGGACACATAAGTCATGCCAGAGTGGGAAACGGGGTGACTCAGTCTACAGCTCCAGGTTTCCAACGTGGGGCACAAGAGCACTTATGGCCATTGTGACAAGATGAAGACAGAAAATGACTGGGTTAGGGGTCAATCTCATTTGGACATGGTGAGTTTGAACTTCCTGTTGGTTATCCAGCTGGAGATGGTCAGTAGGTCGTTCAAGTGGAGCTGAGATGGTTTGCAGCTGGGACAGACTCAAGCCTCACCATATGGGCAGTAGTGGGAGTGCACAATGTAGGAAGATGTCAGAGAAGCAGGACCCAGCAGCCATATATGGGTCAAGGAGAAAGAAAACCTAGGAAAGAAAAGAGTGGGCAAGCTGAGACAGTGGGGGGGTGTCAATGGAAAGATGGACAGACCTCATGCTGCACCCTACAGAAGTATCAGGTACAACACAAACTGAGAGGAACCTCAAACTTGAATGTTATGAGGGCCTTGTGGGTCTCCACCTGAGAGGTGTCACAGGGAGATGGAGGTGAGGGTGCCCTCACCATGTCCCCAGCAAATGAGACAAGGCCTGGTACAAACAGGACAGAGGTACAGATGGATGGATCCCTGAATAAGCAGATGGATACAAAGACAGGTGGATAGATGGAAAGATGGATGGATAAACAGATAAACAGTTAAATGAGTGGACAAATGGATGCACAGATGGAGAGATGACTAGATGGATAGGTAGATGGATGGATAGATGGGTGGATGGATGATGGATGGATGGATGGATGGATGGACAGATGATGTATGGACGGACAGAGGAATAAATGCACAGATATATGGACAGATGGATGCACAGATGGATGGATAAATGAATAGACAGATGAATGGAAAAAGTAGTCTAAAAGATCAGCAAAATCTCACGAATACAGAAGAGCTGCATCTCTTTGGATAGACATGAAAGCAGAAGAGTCTTCCCATAGGAGTCAGGAATGAGCCAGTGTCCGTGGCTCCAGGAGGAAGTCAGCCTGGCGGGACCATGGGCGATTCATGAGAAAGGGACTCAGAGGCCCTAAAATGAGCCAGCTCAGGACTCCCTGCCATGTCACAGTCACCTGAGAACATGCATCACTCAGGGATTTATTGTGCCCAACATTCCCATCAGCACTGACAGCTGCAGAAAGAGGGGCAAGGGGGAGACACATGTGGGGTGACTATGACTATGGACAATGCCTGCGTGGCATGAGGGGAAGGCCTCCGGCCCACCTGCCACCCACCAAGGAAACAGCCTATGCTCTGCAACCCTATGCCTGTCTCACCCAGCAGGTTCCCTCTCCAGCCCCGCCCCCAGGAGGCAGGCCCCAGGTGCTGGCCCCATGTCTTTTGGTCCGAGTCTCAGTCACCATCGTTCATCTTTGGCAGTGGAACCCAGCTCACTGTCCTAGGTAAGTGGCTCTTGTGCCCTTTCTCAATCTGCCTCACCCTCCTGCTACCTCAGCAAAATCCATTGTCTCCCTCTGTCCCTCCCTAGGCTGAGAGATTAACACCTTACCTTTTTCCACAGGGCCTGAGGAGGAAGGTGGTCTTGAAGTAACCAGCAGGAAGGGCCCTAGAAACAGAGGCAGCCACCTTCAGGGGCTAAGACCTGGAGTCAGGATTTGGCCAGGGGCAGGGGCTATTTCCCCTCCTCTAGACCAGTTGCCCAAATGGGGAGAAGAACCTACTTCTGGGTAGCACTAGAGATAATCCTCCAGGCCCCAGAGTCTGAGCTGAGCTGAAAGCTGGATGCCTATCCAGGCTGGGAGAACTACACAAGAGGGACATGGCTGGGGCTGTGATACCAACCTCTAGGGACTCAGGAGATTGCCCCCAAGTCGAGACCAGCAGAGGTCAGAGAATGTCTGGTTCACTCTAAGCTTCAGCTCTCATGTCCTCTGATTGTCCATGAGGACATAGCAACACAGAGGGACAGGTCAGACTGGGCAAGGTAACTAGAGACTAATGGTCATTCAGAAAGGAGGGGGTCCAAGGGCAGAGACTCTATCCATGGAGCCCTTAAGCCTGGGGCCAGGGACTGCCCATAGTCAGCTAGGCATGGTGGCACACCCCTAAAATCCCAACACTCCAGAGGGAGGCTGACAGAGGAGAATTACTGTCAGTTTGAGGCCAGCGTAGACTACATACCAACCCTGTAGAGAAAAAACAACACGTTTATGTCCAATTGTCCACAGTCAGTCTCTTACCTTCCTCAAAGTGTACAGTAGACTCAGGAAATGAGAAACGGGAACAAACAGGGAGTTCAAAAAGCTACTTGGCTCCAGGTAAAATCAGGAGTCATCAGAGGCTGCTGTACCCCATAGTCTGGAGGGAGCAGCCTCAAGAACACAGGGGCTGGGGATTCAGCTCAGCGGCACAGCGCCTGCCTGGCAAGCGCAAGGTTGTGAGTTCAATTCTCAATACCGGAAAAAAAAACAACAAAAAAAAGAGCACAGCCAAGACAAAGGGTCTTGTGATCAAGCTCACGAAGACGGGGAAGATGGCAGAGCCTTGGAGGAGCACCCAGGATTGTCTGGGAGGAGCCTACTACTCCTTGGGGGAGCTGAGTGGACCAGGATGGAGCAAAGCCTGCTACTCAAGAAGGCAGGAAGTGCTAGGCTTCCAGGGTGGCAGCCACAGACTCCAGGTCTTCCCATGTTCCCCGGGATCACCCTTCAAGGCTGGATGGGGACTCCCAGTTCACAGAGGCAGCTCTAGGCTCGGGAAAAAATGAAGCGAGTTAGCGGCCTGGGCTGGGGACTCAGGAGGTCAGGGCCAGATTCCCAGCTCAGATTCCGGAGGCCAGGGAGGAAGGAACACAGCCTTCCTTGGTAACGACAGGAAAGCTGAGGTTGCCAGGGGAGGGGCTGGGCCAGGTCACCTGGGGGAAGCAACATGGAAGGGCTTCTAGGAAAGTGCGGGGTTGTCTGTTCTCCAGGGGACACAAGTAGACAATAGGGGAATGAGAAAGGACTGAGGGACCCTAGGTAACAAAACATCCATAATATGAATGGTCAGAGATGTTGGAGTGGAGGATCCCCAACACCAGGCTCTCCTTGCTGACTTATACCCACTCTTCCATCCACACAGGTCAACCCAAGTCTGCCCCATCAGTCACCCTATTTCCACCCTCCTCTGAAGAGCTCAAGGCCAACAAGGCCACACTGGTGTGTCTGATAAATGACTTCTACCCAGCTACCATGACAGTGGCCTGGAAAGCAAATGACACCCTCATTACTCAGGGTGTGGAGACGGCCCAGCCCTCCAAACAGAGCAACAACAAGTACAGGGCCAGCAGCTACCTGACCCTGGTGCCCAGCCAGTGGAGATCTCACAAAAGATTCAGCTGCCAGGTCACACATGAAGGGAGCATTGTGGAGAAGAGTGTGTCTGCTGCAGAATGTTCTTAGGTCCCCAGTGCTCACTCCACCCTCCAGGGGCTGGAGCAGAGGACCTGGGGTGGAGATTCCCTGACCCACTTCAGCCATTCTCCCTGCATCCAACAAGTGCTCAATAAAATATCCAGTTCATAAATAAATCATGTTCCACCTCATTTGTTCTTTTCTCATATTTCATTTGCGACCTCCCATCCCTGGGTGGAAGAATTTTGGCACAGTTGCAAAGTAGCCCTAGGGGAGAGGATCCTGGTCTCCCAAAAGTATCTCCAGGCAGGAGTTTGGTTACAGGATATACGGTAAATCTCTACCTCTCTTCTTCCTCTTCTTCCTCTCAGCACAAGGACCCACTCCCTGCTTCCTTCCTCCGTGGAAATCACTGAGACATGCTCTCTCCCGACCCTGGTCTGAAGGACAAGATTAAAGGCCTTAAAGAAATGGCCCAAGGTCTGGGTCAGACCAAGGCCTGGAACACAAGTGTTGAGTTCAGTGCCTCTTTAAAATGTTTATTAATATATGACTGCTGTTTATAATGATTACATTCATTGTGGGAAGTTGGTAAATGAACACATCATAATTCTGTTGTTTTAATTTGCATTTCTCTCATGGCCAATAATGTTGAACATTGTTTCATGTATTTATTGGCTATTTGTACTTCTGGGAGGTATCTATCTGATACAATTGCTCATTTTTTGATTGGGTCTTTTATTTTTGGAAGACTAATTTTTTTGAGTTAGTTATATATCTAGATATTAGTCCTCTGTCTGCAGGGTAGTTGACAAACTAATTTTCCATTCTGTAGTTTGTCTCTTCACTCTATTGGTTATTTCCTTTGTGGTACAGAAGCTCTTTAATTTGTTTGTTGATGTTATTCCTTTTTTTTTTTTTTTTTTT